ACGACCCCCTCCTCGATGTTACCATAAGTATACCGACGATGTCCTGATTTGGGCTCCCATGTCCTGCCCTAGACATCATCATCAGCATGCCACTTTTACTCCTGTAAGTTTTTATTCTATAAGCAACGGCTTTTTTCTCCTTGAAAACTGCCAAATTGGACTGAAGACCCTTATAGTTGCTGAGAACTGCACAAAGAGTTTTTCCACTGTCTGCTCCGTTTTGATTTTGTCGCACCTACTGCCATCGCGTATGAACCGAGATACTGTATTTATATCATTATACCACTTGTGCTGAGAGAGTAGTCATATATGTTTATTATTTTGCACTAACTGACTGTTGCTCACTTCTCATCTGCAATTATGTAAACGACCAGTATTTGAATCTTACTACTGTTTCGATGCATTCTTCAGTCACTTTTTCACCAATAGGAAGCTCAACAGCCGTTGCCTTCCTTTCCTTCAATACAACTGAAATGAACTAGGCTTTATTGAGTAAATGCAAATCATGAATATTTACAGGGATAACTGGAAAAACTATATACAAATGTTGTCCTTACATTTTGCTAAGATGATAGGCTATATTCGTCCAGATGATTAGTTCCACAAGTAATGAACCGCAACCAAAGTCTCCACAAACGTCGTCTAAAACGGTGGCGGCGGCGACCTTTCCATGCCGGTCCGACATTTGACCGCATTATTCTGAATTGGGACTGCCGTTAGCACCACGGTCTGAAACCCTCCTTTATCATCCCATGCTGCCTTGACACTTTCCTCTTCCCCTCGTTCACGTTTTTCTAACTCGTTAGCATGCACGTGCTTGAACTCAGCCTCTTCCTTCCCGTTTTCCTCACCCTCTTTTTTGTTCTTCTCCCATTTGATTTCCTGTTGCGAGCCCTTCAACTCCGACTCGTTCTCCGCTTCTTCGTCAGCCTCCTCAATACTTTCGAGGCTCGGGATAAACCCCGACCTTCGTGGCCCCGGGCGTACGTTATTCACCCTTTAACCTAATACAGTAAACGTCCTTACAACGTGGCCTTCATAGGGCTCACCGAATCACCTTACAGATTGACTCCATCACAGTCCATTAAACGGCGATGGTTAGAAGGTTGCTGGCCGACGGGATAACTCAAACCGGAAAGACAGTTTAGTATGCGTCTGCGTGGAGATACCGACTGGTAGACTGAGCATGACGCTGCAATGACTCCCCATAATGTTGCCTCCTCTATAGCACTCTCCGAATCCGTTAGATGCCAATAGTGTGTGACGAAAAGCTTAATGGCGGCGTCGTCCACACCAGTAACCTGCGCCCTCTCCCATCTTCCATAGAGGTGCTCGACATCGAAAAACATCAGCAAATACTTCTGCAAAAATATACGTTTTATTGAAGAAACGCTAATCATAAATATTTATAAGGATATCTGGAAAAAATATATTCAAACGTGGTCCTCGGATCATGCTAAGATGTTAGTGTATATTCCCCTTCATAACCTGTTCTGCAAGTTACAAATCGTGCCCACAACCTTCACACACGTCGTCGAAAGCGGTGGTGATGACGACTTTTCGAGTGACCGTGTTCTGCTGCAATTCCATTGCCCCATTCAGGTCCGACATTTGCAGGCTCAACTGCATTACTCTGAATTGTGATTGCCGTCAACACCACGCACTAGTGCGCCACTTCGTAATTCCATGACTGCTTTGACCTTTCCTTCTCCTCTTGTCGACATTTTTCTAACTCATATGCATGCACACCCTCCGCTGATTCTCCTCCTTTTTATAGTTGTTCTTTTTATTCTTCTCTTCCTCCCTCTTCTCGTCTTTATTCTCCCCATCTTCCGCCCCCTCCAACACCGACTCATCCTCCGTTTTATGCTCCTCTTCCTCAACTTCCATAATGCTTTCGAGTGTGGGCTCGAAACCAGACCTTCGTGGCCTCGGGCGTACCTTCTTCACGGTTTTAACTAATACAGTAAAATGTATCACAGTTAAGTTTTCCTCTGTTGCGGAGGTACACATGTAATGACGGCAACAGCTGAACTTAGATCGCCCTTGCATCATAAACTCACCTGGACTTGAGGGAACCTACTTTCTCGATTCCGCGAGGCACGTTGGTTCCTCGGTTTGTAACTTCGGTATGTCTCGTAGATTCGATGAGCTTTTGTCCTTACATATAACGAAATCGGCTATCAAATTACTGTTAAACCTATAAGAAAGAAATAGAAGAAATTATTAAATAACCCATAAACCATATACGACATTCCTAACAACTTTTTAGACAGTCAAAATAAATGGATCAAAATATGTTACTGAAACATTTCGGATACAACGAACTCACCTTACAGGCTCAGGAAGAGCTGAATGGGGAACTAATTCTATTATTTGTGGTTTGGAATGACGATGAAGGGAAAGTAGACGCTTCCAACGACAGATAAATACAGGCATTTTAGGTAACATTCTAATCAAAGGGATAAGGATATCTACAACATGAGAAAAACGAATATTGCATGTTAAAGGTCATCAGCTTCTACCTAGACATAAATGGGCTACTTCCATGACTGAAAATGTGCAAAAAATTCTAGAATACATTACAGCACATAACCAGAAAATAGTAAGGTCTACCATTTGCATAAAGAGAAAAATACGTTAGATTCTTACCGTCCATTAGGCACTTTGACAAACGAATAAATAGAGCAATTAGAAACATAGGGATGAATTTCATCAGCAGACTATTTTACGCTTGAACAAGCTGGATGACTATAGTTGATGGAGTAATTTTCTCTTTGAAAAGTCCACGGAGGGGCTTCCATTGGCAGCTAAGGGCAAAAATTTAAGCTAAGCTTCTAGTCAGGAGAAAAACGGCACCTACAATAGGCAGAAAAGAGTTTTGTTTGTTGAAAGTCATCGGTTTCTATCTAGGCATAGTTTACTTCCATGAGAGGAAATGTGTAAAAACTGCCAGCCTAAATACCAGTACATAATAAACTAAACTATTACAGCCATGGCATAAAGTAAGAAGTGCGTTAGGTACTTACCTTGCATTAATCAAGTTGGAAAACGGATGAAAATTGTAACGAGAGAAGTGAAGACGACATTGAACAAGAATCTGTTGCATGAACGAGTAAGGAGACTGAGGTTGGATGATTCGGACGAGCGTCCCATCTTCCGCGCTAGGTGTGCGTAAACTGCGTTGAAGGGCTAAGAGCAGTATCGATCGGGTGCAGGTCGCAGTTCAAATGCCAGCGTAGGAGCGCCGAGGTTGAAATCTTGCATGCGCGCGTGTTTGTCAGGTAAATGGGAATATTCCGCATCAAAAGGAGTGCCTTCCCTGCTGTCCAGACGGCGATTCAGTCAGATTGATATGTATTTGCCGGTTACAGCCTGTAGAACACTGTGGTTTTCGTGAGCAATTTCATGTACGATAGTGCTCAGACATAGGTCAGCGAAAAAGTTTAAACAAAAGAAGAATCTAGTAAGGCAGTCGACACATGCTGGCGATGTACGCAAACCCCAAAATCCTTAGGACTCAAGTGCTAGCTTGATCCACATAGATAATGCGGAATATTTTCTTGACATTTGGTTGTCCATAGTTAGGGGTATTCATGGCCGAATCACGTCGTGACCTCTAACCAAACGTGGAAATTTATATAACTTAAGTGCTACCTATTTCTATATAAATAAGATGAAATGATTTCTGACATATGGTTTTGATTAACTGAAGCCTATTTGGCGTCGAATCACCTCTTGGGCGTCATGTCAAGAATCGGGGGCATATAGTATTGCGCTTAAAGACAAGGGAGACTGGAAAGGCCATTTCTGGCCTATAAGCCGTCGTCATTCAGTCATACCTAGCGGTCTGTAAACGTTCACGTACGATTGTC